GCTCTGGGTATTTAGCTCAACTCATGTAGGACATTGTTGTGGGATCCAGGCCCTCAGCTGGATTCCTTGGTCTTAGTGTGTGGACAGATTTCCTGCACTCTTTTGTATACTGTTCTTTGCGTGACTTATAAATAATCATATAAAGTATGTGCCCTGTATTATGTTGTTCCCCTTGCAAAATAAGCCGCCCCAAACCAACACATACAGATAATGTACAATTACCTGTTGAGTGATAGATGTTTATGTAAGCCTTTGCTATGTTCTTTGGGGGATTAAAAGAATAAAAAGTCCTGGTCCTCTGTCTTAGATATTGTCTGAGACTATACAGCAGTAGGCCAGATTCCAAGGGGTGATATTCAAAGAGTAAGTGCTGTAAGTAGAAGATAAGGAAGCCAAGAGCAACTATAGTAGCTTCAGACTGCAGAGCAGATTCAAATTTACTATGAAATATAACATAGGCATAAATGCATAGATAAAATGGATGAAAGAATTCTAGGAAGTGTAACGCTGCCTGACCAAAAGTTCAGAGGTTGGAAGGAACTTGTCCAATAGTCAATAAAGGACTGGGCAAAGAGTGTCTCTATTAAAGTCACAGATGTGTTTCCTTTATAGGAAGTGGAGAATCATAAGATCACCTGCATTTTTCAGAGGGACAGGAGCATGTTGCAGAAGAATGCTCCTGTGGTCAGTCTCTGATTTATAAATGAGTTCTATTCCAAAGCTTTGCCCTTACAATGGTTTTAATTTTAAAATTGCATTTCTTATAAAATTAGACAAAAAGGTACTAGTACAGTTTCATCATAAACTTTTTTCTCAGGAATCACTGTTACAAGTTTGCTAGCTGGGTTCTCAACCAAGCTCAGAAGAGTAGGTTTAACCGGAAGCCTGCTGGGTTCATGCTGAAAACATTAGTGCGGGTTCTTGAAGAAGAGACCAGAGAGCACCAGGAACAGGCTAGGGAGTCTTCTCTCCAATTCTGTTGCTGCTTAGCATTCAGCACAATTTCAGATCTGCCAGGGGCTATATCTGAGTTCACCTCCATTTCTACGAACCATTTCTGTCCTAACTTCTCAGCCCACACTACCCTGAAATCCTCTCACTTTCTCTCTCCATCGAATGTTTCCAGAACACCTCCCACTCTGAAGCTTGCCCTTCTCACTTCTTCTAACCTCACCATTTGTATTCATCAGTGTCTGCTTTATACATTTCTTAAAATATCACACTCAGACCCATTAATATGTACAACTGGAGATATGTTAATCAGAAATAATTTTTTTAAACAAGATCTCACTATGTAGAGCATGTTGGCCTTGAACTTGCTTATGTAGCCCAGGCTGGCCTCAAACTCACAGCAATTCTCCTGCCTCAGCCTCCTGAGTGCTGGGAATACAGGTGTACAGCACCATGCCTAGCCCCAAAATAAAATTTTTTAAAAGTACCTAATTCAGATGTAAGTTATCTAACTAAACAACTGACACTTAGGTAAAAGCTTTCCAAATCCTCTATGCCTTTTGTTAAGTTTCCAAGTCTTCAGTACCTAGCTTCATGCTCAACAAATGTAGGTTGAACTGAACATACACATTTCAATTGATTTGCAACTTTATACAAAGAATACTTATGGTAGCAAATACATTTACCACTGGAAACTTTCTGCCTATTTAAAAGTCAGGCAAAGCATTTCAGGTGGTGTGAGTGGATCTCTCTCTATGGGAAAGTTGGATGGGCACAGGATACATTTGGCTAGGAGCCACTTACAGTAACTACCCTTCTCAGATTAGCTTTGTCCCCAATTTCTGAACCTAAACTATTTTTGAAAATGTTCCAATTCTATTTTAAGTATAGTTACTGTGGTTGAGCATAGTGGCAGAGTACAATTGCTCCAAAAAATAATATCAAGAATCAACAAATGGAATCATATTAAACTAAAAAGCTTCTGCACAGCAAAGGAAACAGCCAACAGAATGAAGAGATAACCCACAGAATGAGAAAAAAATGTTGCCAGCTATTCTTCAGAGGACTAATATCTAGAATATATAAAGAATTCAAAAAAAATTAGATCCTCCAAGTAAAAGACCCAATCAAAAAATGGGCAACAGAAATGAATAGATGCTTCACAGAAGAAGAAATACAAATGGCCAACAGATACATGAAAAAAAAATGTTAAACATCTCTGGACATTACAGAAATGCAAATTAAAACAATACTGAGATCCCATTTTACTCCAGAAAGAATGGCCATCTTCAAGAAATCAAATAATAACAAATGCTGGGGAGGCTACAGGGAAAAAACCTTTTCACATGGTTGATGGGAGTGTAAACTTACTGTAACTGTTATGAACATCGGTATGAAGATTCCTCAAAAACTAAAACCAGAAATTCCATTTGACCCAGCTACTCCCCTTCGAGATATCTTCCCGAAAGAGTTAAAGACATCACATTACAGTGATACATGAATACTCATATAGCAACACTGTTCACAGTAGCTAAATCTTGGAAGCAGACTACATTTCCATTAACAGACGAATGGATAAAGCAAATGTGGTATTTACACAAAATGAAGTACTAAAGAAAGATAAACTTGAGTCATTTGCAGGAAAATGGAGGCACAATAATGTTAAAAGAAATAAATCAGACACTCAAGCTTAAATACCTCATGGGCTTTTGTGTATGAGAAACCAAAAAGTATAAATAAAGAGTAAAATAAAAGATAGGTCATAACAGGGAGATAGATCTTTTGCAAATGGGAAAGGGACCAAGAGATACAGGGAGGGGAAAGGAGAGGGCAAGGAGATAAAAAAAAAAAAGAAAATGAGACGCGTTGTGTACATATATCAATACCCCACGAGGTATGTGATCATTATATACTACAAACATGTATTAATAAAAAATAAAAATTGGAAAAGAGAGAGAGAGAGAATAGTGGTGGGGTATCCAGCAAATTGGGTATTGAAGGTGGAGGAAGCCTTAAGGAAACCCCTCATAACTACAGGGCTTGCCCTGAGATGACTGGCTTTCTGGAACTCTGGTCTATTTGGAAGCTGAGTTATGGTAATGATATGGTAATGATCTAAAGGCCACTTACCAGGTATACAGTTTGTTCCATGCTCTTCCTTGCTCAGCTGGTACATGTTTCCCTGCCTTGTGCCCAAAGTGAGCACATGGCTCATTCACTGTCTCACCTGGGATTCCTGCAAGGTCAGGGCTGTGTCCCTTAGGTCCTAAGGAAAGTGTCAAAGTGGAGCATGTATGTAAGGGCAGTTTCATAATGATGACGATGTTGATCTTGACCTCCTCTGCCAGGCGAAGTGGGAGGAGATCTGTGGTGCTCAGGACACAGCTGTGGAGGTTTACAGGGACATCAGCTTGATGGCCCTGGACATCATCATGCAATGTGCATTCAGCCAAGAGACCAACTGCCAGATAAATGGGTCAGTCACAAGAAATTTTTTAAAAAATCAAATTGTTTGCAACACCTAATTATTAACACCTTATCCCAACTTGCCTCTCTAGCACCTATGATCCTTATTTGAAAGCAACATCTGAACTCAGCAAAATCATATTTTATCGCTTGTACAACTTCTGGCATCACCATGACTTAATTTTTAAATTCAGCCCTATGGGCCACCGCTTCCAGGAGTTGAGCAAAGTGCTCCATCAGTACACAGGTAAATACACAGGTATTTTGCGGGTTTGGTTTGCCCACGTCCGTACACTGTCATGATTGTACTATTTCTATCTAGAGGTATAGCCTCACTGTGCACAGAAGTATTTTTGTCCTTAATGAAGCTTTTATAATGCTCAAATGAAATACAACTTGAGCCCTTGTCAGATAGTTTTATCTGGATATTTATTGAAACTGGATATTCCGTTCCAAGTTTTCCAGGCATAGGATAGACTCTTTATTACATAAATTCAAATTTTCCCTAAATCCAGCAAGCTTCCTTGGTTTATGGTTCTATTAATTCCATTCCATATTTGTGCGTGCTTTTTCATCCCAGACCCTTCAGTTATACATTTTTTGGCCGGTATTTGCTTTTGTTTGATAACTTCCATAAAGATAAGACTTCAGGCTGAAGAAAAGAACGATCACTTGCATCTAAATTTGAAATCATCTTAATTCCACTGCTTACCTACTGATATAAACTATGGTTCAGGTCTGTTGTGTTTGTCTTTGGAACTTTAATAAAAAATTGTCCATTTGATGGAAAAAGAAACCATTCTGTGTAAATTAAATCTATTTAAATGTAATATACCTACTCTGGCCTCTGAAAAGGAGTAAGATTTGAAGCTATTCATGGCCCCTGCCTGGTTTTATAATTTATTTGACTTTATTATCACTTTGGTAATGTGGAGGTATTATTCTACCTAGAAAATGTAATCCAGGACAGAAAGAAATCCCTCAAGGCTGGAATGGAACAGGATACGACTCAGAAGAAATACCAAGATCTTCTGGATATTATGCTTGGTGCTCAGGTAAATTTTCCAAATATCTGAGCTTGCTCAAACAGCCAGTTATGAAGGTGAACACATTGTAAATGGAGAAGGGTGGGGCGACAAAAGCAAAACTGGTCAACTAATCCAGCGGACAGAGTTTTGAATTGAGGGGCTGGATCCACGCAGTTTGTGGTAAAGAGAATTTTACAATTCTACTACATTACATACTTGGCAGGATTTGGAAATTATCATATAGATACACATTTAGGGACTCACATAAAAACAAATCACATGAGTAAGCATGTAAAATGAGGAGGAGGAGGTGTTGAAAACTCTGGATAAAACAGAATTTGAAGGAAATTTCTGGGGCCTGATACCTGCTTCTTAGCTAACATTGGTTTTCCTGTATGCTCTAGGCAAAGCCTGGCTCATATTATATATTTGTTGAACTGAATTAAAATTGCAATGCTTATTTGAAACTCTAATTGTTTCCCCTCCATCCATTATTTTCACTGGGTCTCCAAAATGGTACCTCATGAGCTTATGGTTCGTTATTGGACTTTCTAGGCTGAAAGTGAAGATGGCTTTCCTGATGCTGACCTGCAGTCTGAGGTGAGCACGTTCATGTTGGCAGGGCACGATGCCTCTGCAGCGAGCCTCTCTTGGCTTCTCTACTGCCTGGCTCTGCACCCTGAGCACCAGGAGCGATGCCGAGAGGAGATCAGGAGCACCCTGGGGGAGGGGTCTTCCATCCACTGGTAAGATCTACACCCTTAAACAGTTCATCTTAGCTGTCCTCCTGGAATTTTGCTCTATTTGTCCCCTCGTATCTTAGCAACCACACTGCCTGAAGATGGATGTATGTGGAAGCAGAAGAGGCAGGTTATTTTTCTGCTTTTCCTCAAGAGGGGCCAAAATTAGCCCCTTGCACTTTATGAAGAAGTTCACTGATTCAGAAATTACCTGACATTGTTTTTCTACTCAGTGATGTGCAAAATGTCTTGCTTCTTTCTTTCACCAAGCTGTAGCACATTGGAAATGAGAGCTTCACCTGAGGCTTGTAGGTAGAGCTCGAATGATAAGGCCGAGGTGGGTTTCTCTTCTGAGAGAGCAGAGTAAGCAACAGCATCATTTAAGGCCCCCGATGGATTCTCTCTCCCATCTCCTTTTCACTAATTTCATTACTTAGATGGACTTTGGACTTGGGAAGTGGTACCAAACAGTACACACTGCAGTTGAGTTTAACAAATGTGGACTAGTTACTGAGACTCTAAAAATGACTGAGATTTGATGTAAGTCCTAACCCCAGTGAACTCATATCTGAAGCAGGATGTAGACCTCCATACAGTAAATTGAAACATAATGTGCTAAGTGCAATAATACAGCTATGTGCTGTCCCCACTGGGGAGACTTAGGAAACAGCCCCCGTCCCCAGCATGTGGTGCTGAGGTTTAAGGAGACTTTGTAGGAGATCTAACACTTGTTCTGCCTCTTATAGGATGAGTAGGAGTTAGCCAAGTAGAAAACTTCAACTCTATATTAAACGTATTTTGCTGTTATTAAATCCAGGTTATGGATTTGCCCCTCAAACATGCTATTTGCAAAGAAAAAGCGTGTCCCTGAAATAGTTCACCCTAGCTGATGGGTGAAAGGAGCAGAAAGGTAAAAATGCTAAGGGCTGCTGAGCTACATGACTAGGGAAAAACTCACCATAATTTTTATGCAAAGGTTAGGTGAAACATTTTTGAAACAAAACTTGAAAGTATAAAGTTATAATAGACATCTTATTTTATAAGAAGATGACAGTTATTTTCTACCATAAATTAAAGGGTTAATCTGCCTAGCATAAAACACAATGTTAGGTGATCATCTTTAACAAATAAAGAGTGTACGTATATCTATACATGTGCATATATATGAAATTTTGTAACCTTTAACTAACATCTTCCTAATCCTGCACCCTCTTGATACCCACCATTCTCTACTTCTGTGAATTCAACTTTTTTAGATGTATAATTGAGATCATGTAGAATTTGTCTATTCAGGTCCTTTGCCCATTTTTAATTGTTTTATTTGTTTAGTCACTATTGAGTTGTGTGAGTTCCTTATATATTTTGGGTATTAATCCTTTATGCTAATATTGCCAGTATTTTCTCCCGTTTTATATGTTTCTGTTCACAGTGCACTGTTTCCTTTGTTGCACATAATGTTTTAGTTGATATAACCCCATTTGTCTACCTTGGCTTTGTTGCCTGTACTTCAAAGATTGCATCCAAAAAACTTTTGCCAAACCCCATGACAAAAACTGCTCTCATTTGTTTCTTAGTTAATTAGTTTGTTTGCTTTAGGTTTACTGTTTTAGATCTTATGTTTAAATATTTAATCTATTTTTAATTTTTTGTATATGGGGTGAGATAAGGGTCAAATTTTATTCTTCTGCCTATGCACATCAAGTTTTCTCAGCACGACTTGTTAAAGAGGATATCCTCTCCCAGTATGTGTCCTTCTCACCTTTGTTGAAACTAAGTTGTCCATAAGGTTATGGATGCATTTCTGGGCTCTCTCTCCCATTCCATTGTTTTATATTTCTGTTCCCGGGAAAGAACCATGCTGTTTTGACTACTATGGCCTTGTAGTGGATTGTCAGATCAGGCAGTGCCTCTCGCAAAACACTTTTATCTGAGGAGGCTGTGAACTTATTGCTGTTGTGGGAGAATCCAAGTGAGGAACTTCCTACTTTCCCCCATTGAGTAATTTTTTTTTTCTTGGTACCGGGAATTGAACTCAGGACCTTGCACTTGCCATGCAGGCGCTTGTACTGCTAGACTATATCCCCAGCCCTAGTAATCTTTTTTTTTTTTTTTTAATTCATTCAATTTGGAAAAACTGTCTATCACTTTTCAACATGAATTAGATATTTTAACTTTGACTAGGCATATATTTACACAACTCAAATCCTGACTTTTCTCGTGTTTACTTGACCTAACTGTGAAAACAGTAAGTCTCTGCTGGATGAGAAAATGAAGTCCAGATGATCTGCTGTCATCTACTTTATCAAGAGACCGTCCAAGAGTATTACAAAGAAAAATATACTTTCACTCTGTAACATGCACTTCTACCTAAAAGTTAATGAAATTTGTACCTGGCATTCTAAAATTTTATAATTCTTCTAGACAACAGTAATAAAACAAAGAGCATTTCTGGGAACGCTAGAAAGTTGTTCAACTTTTCCATTTAGCTCCTTGTCAGCCACTTTCCACATTGAATTAGAATTCTTCCTTTTGCACCATAATAAGCTAGGGGAAAAAAACTGTTTCCTTAATTATGCAAAGTGCCAGGATGAGCAGAAGTATCCTTTTTATGCTGAGCTTGAGGAGGAAAGAATCCAAAACTAAAACTTTACATTACCAAATGACCAGTGGCTGCATTCAAAATAAGTCATCAAAAAATTAAATGCAACTACAATAAAACAAACAGACCAAGTATATGCAGACATTTTATTGGGCCAACGTGACTAGCAAGATGCAAGTAAAAAAACAACTATTCTTCGGGGGCTGATACTTCAAACTTGCTCTGTGGGTCAAGTTCTTTTCATCTAGAGGGCAAAATCCTGAGCAGGTATTGCAGAGCTCCCATCTTTCAGATCACAGAATCAGTCTCCTGCCACTAAGCAAATTGTCTAATTCATGGTAATAGTGCTTCAAATACTCATCCACCTTGAGCAGCGCTGTCCATCCCAGTTTGATACTTCTTTGAGCCTGGAAGCCAGCAGAGGATGAGGGATTCATTCTTGGCGTATTCTTACTGACCAACTCTTGCCCTACTCAGAAGTTTCTTCTTCTGACCCTTCCAGCAATGGGTCCACAGGGAGCAGGGACAAGGAGAAAGGGGCTAGAACTATTGTGATTGTGTGCCCAAAGGGTGTGGTGGGTACACCTGTGGGTTTCCTAGAGACTCCCTCCCTGGGACTTTCCAATGGTCCTTCACAGGGCGAAGGGATCCTAATCTTTGGGCAGAGTCTTCCTCTAGCCGGTTCTGGAGCTTTCTCTCCCTCTGAGCAGTTCACTGATACAACAGACACATTTGCACAGTCCTGCCTTGTCACAGCTGCTCTCACTTGCTTCTCTGTCTGTGGTAAGGCAGTGCCTTTCCCATCACCAAAGTCCAGGGTACATTTGTCAGAACATCTCAGTGACACTCAGGAATCTCCCTTTTGTTTATTTAAGATGGGTGAAGTACCTCCTCCATTCTCCATGGCACTCTGCCATTTCTACAATTCTCTTTAAAGGGTGCAGTTTCTCTCTCGTACCTCTCTAGGCTTCTCTTTGCACTCCCTGGTCATTCCTTACATGTTCCTGCTTTATATGATGAGCTAAGGATTGCAGAACTGATTTTTTCTAAAATCTCCTGGGCAAATCCTTTACTAGTAGCTGAACACTTGACCATGTAGTTAGGATATATAGCTCCTGTTGAGTTACTCTAGCTCAGCTGATCCTGAGGCAGAAAAAGTCCCATTTTGACAATCTGTTACATATACTCATGACAAATGCACCTGAGGTGAGGACAACATTAAATAGAAAAAACTCGTTATTTTCAAACTGAGCCTGGAGTCTGAGTCCCTTCCCTCCCTCCCTCACCCTCACAGGGACCAGCTGGATGAGATGTCCTACACAGAAATGTGTATCAAGGAGATGTTCCGATTGATTCCTCCGGTGCCATCCATCTCCAGGGAGCTCAGCAAGCCCCTCACCTTCCCAGACGGACGCTCGTTGCCTGCAGGTCTTTGTCTTTTCGTAAGCAGCCCCTAGACACCCTGGGATCCTGGGGATCGCAGTAACAACAATGGGTGGGTTTCTTGGCTCTTAGAGAAATCAAAAGATAGCCTGAAGCGCTGGTTATCTATGAAGAAATTATAGGGTAATTTCTTCATCAGATACAAGTTTCAATGAAGTTCCCAAGGGACATGACCAATTACAACAAAGTTGAGCCCAGAATCCCAGCCCAGGATCCCTTGTGGGACATTACTTCTAATATAATCTTTGTTAGGCTGTTTGAGGACCTAATAAGACTTCATATGAGCATCATTGTCTTAATCTAAAAGACCCAGGAGGGCCTCATCATCACAATAGCATCCTTATGTGCAGCACTGGGTAGTTTACGTAGAACCTTCAAACACATGACCTCATATTTTCCCTTGAAATGTAATATTAATGGACATTTATGCAGGGATTTATGATTTATAAAATACTTTCAATGTAACAAAAACCTCACTTGGGATCCCCAGTGTGTAGAGGAGGGCCCACACTCCAAGCATACAGGTTTCTGGGCAAGACACAGAGAAGGTAGCAAGGTGAGGCGACATACCCTTCCCCTCGGCTGCTTTGGGGTTGCTCAAGGCAAGCACCTTTTACCGTAACTTTGGCGACATATCCAAAATTAATTTATCAGGATTATTTCTGGCAACAAAAGAATTCTCAAATTTTCTCTCCTTTGTCTTTTTAAATCACAAAACCTCATAAATATTTGCCAGAATTCCACACCTTCTGTGGATAAACAGCACCAATAGGAATTAACCATTGGATCTAACATGATGGAATTACTGTTCTGTTCCCGTGTAGCCAAACTGCCCTACGTACCAGGGCTTTATAGTCCTTAACAGATGTTTCAGTAATGTCCTTATGTGGCAGAAAATGGCAACATAGTTTAGTGCTTTGATATGATCCCAACAGGTCCTTAGAATAGAATCATAAGTTAAGTAAATCATTGTTTTAAAAACAAGGTAGAAACCCAAGCCTCACCTTCCTATGACCCTCTCCCTGGTGTCATCAGCAACAGCACACAGCTCTGCAGGAAGTCATCTCTTTCCCTTCAGAGGAAAATCTTGTGGAAGGACTGTAGAAACAGCAGCGTACCTTTTGCTCTCTCTCTCTCTCTCTCTCTCTCTCTCTCTCTCTCTCTCTCTCT